CACAATTCTCAATCTCACCTTCACCTCGTAAACCCTTTGTTTCCCACTTTGCCTCCCTTTGCTTTCCAAAAAACCACTGTTCCTATCTTAATCTCACAAAAAGAACTTTTCACATTCATCATACCTACACTTCACCGCACAAACCCTCTCTCGGTCACCAACTTCCCCTCTCCAGTCGAACGACAAATTCTCCAACAACTTAATCTCCCTCCGAAAAGGCAGAAGCGTCGATCCGCATTTGCTAGAGCAGCTGATTAGCCGCGGTCGACGTGCCACGGGGATGGCGGTTGTGGTCCCCTGGTCGTCGACGCGTGTTCCGGCGCGTGTACGCCCGGCGAGCCGGTAAACGTCAGGACTCCCCTCAAACGTGTCGAATTGTCTGTTGCAGGAGGGCGGCTGCTCTACCCCGCGTGTCGCCAGCGTGTCAGTGCAGCTCGAGCAGGACAGCAACAAGTCGGAACAGCTGGAGCGGGCGCCTCGCTGCAACGTACGTACCTGTAGACAGTCGAGAAAGGGGAAAACACGCGTGACCGCTTCCGCTCTCCTCGTCCAGAACCTCCTGGAGACGCTCTAGCTCACGCGACACTCCGACTAACCCTCCCTCTTTCTTTCACACCCTCTCGCCGTCTCAGCTTGAAACGACCACTCCAACGGACGTGTATCTGCGGCTGGCGAACACCTCCGAGTCGAAGACTTGTCGGATCTGCTACGAAGAAAGAAAGGAAATGAAACTGGAAGGGAGAATGTGGGTCGAGAGTACCGTTGTTTCCTCTCGTCTGGTATATAGCCTACGCTTTGTCACCGATCGCAAGAGAGAATAGTCTAGGGAAGGAAAGAGAATTGCGTGGGGTTTAGAGCGTTGCGCTACGACTCACTTCTGCTGTTAAATATTCGACGTCCACTGGGTACCGTTTAACCACGGACGAGACACGAATCGATGGAATAGCTACGTTTACATGAGAGAAGACCGGGAGATTTGCAGCCAATTTTTACAGTTTCTGGTACACTCTCGGGGTGATACGAACGAAGAACGGAGGTTTCAATGAAGAAGGATTGGGGATAATGTGGTACGAGATTCGTGATATTCGTTGCAAGGTATTTGGACAGGTGATGGACCGGCGTTGGTAATATAGTTACTACTATCGGTAGCGTCGAGGTGTTTCTAATTAATATTCGCTGTACTTCGAGTGTGCTTTCAACGTTCTCAGAGAAACAGTGCTCGTCGCGATGCCGTGTCACTTCCGTGTAATTCTTCGAGACGAATCTTTCGAGGTGTTCGATTGGAATAATAAAAGAGGGGAAAATCAATCGTACGATTCGAATGGTAGCGCGAGATTTTGGGTTGTTCGCGTGTACGAATCGATTGGCAGCGAAAATTACACGGTCACGAGTGGGCAATCTGCGCTTTCCTTCCGCCGAAGCATCGTTTCGGAGAGTATACTCCGTTGTTTTTTTTTTTCTTTTCTCTCTACTTCGTTCCTACGAGACAGAAGCATGCCTTCGTTTCAGGACAACGTGGACCGACTGACACGCGTGTCCAAAGTGAAGCCAGCGGAAACGTGTAAATATCGTTAACTTCTCCATTGTTTGCTTCGTGTTTTACTTACAACGACACGAGACGAATACCGAACAACACAAGAGAGTAGAAAATAAATATCTCTCGAATTTATTTTTCACACCAGTTCGACGAGCATACAGAGACACGTACACTTGACCCGCTGTCGTCGTAATTTATCCTCGGATCGTTCTTCTGTGCGTGTTTTTGTCTCTAATTGCCGGACACGTAGTTCTCCGCACATATGTAATTACACGGTGCCAATATTTAGCGTTTAACGAACGTACCCGGCCGTTTCCGGCCGATTTCGAATGGCTTTTGTAAGAAAAATCGTCTAAGGTGATGCGCGTCGATAAAACAGGGAGGCAAGGAAAAAGTAGAAAGAAAACGAGTAATAATAATTGTACGACATTCTTCGATGAGCTTTGTTCGGCAACGTTTCGAACGTTCGTGCGAAGCGCGCGATTCGCTGGAATTGAAAGCTCGAACTTTTTACGATGCGGAATATCTCGCTGACTCGTCTGTATTTTAACGAATACGCGTCGAATGTATTTCATAAGCGGTATTTCGACACCGTCGGACAATTGCTTTTAATTTCCACTACTGGACGAGTAATGTGGAATTTAATTTCGGTAGATGACGCGTGTTTCCTTCTCTCTCTCTCGTTTCTCCAAATGAAAATGAAACTCGTTTGAACCATTGCTTCCCGCGTGGAATATTTTTCCCGGAATAATTTCAACCGTCGGATCGCGTTTGAAACCACCGTTGCCTAACTATTACGTATTGATACACATCCTCGATATTCGATTATCGAGTCGGAAGAATTTAATAAAGCAACAACAGCCCGACAATTCCTCCTAATCGAATAACACGGTAATATTGGAAAATACGGAAAAATAGAAGCATCTAAAAACAGTGTCCAACCTAGATCGAACGAGGTCACCAAGCACACACAGCCAATCAGCCGGTGTTTCGTTTAAAACCGACCCGGAATTCAGGATCGTTAAATCGAAGCGAAACAGGAACCTCCGCTCGACGATCTTTTCCACGAAACAAAACTCAGATCGATCCGTGTGCGCGGCCTGTGTGTTACGCCCAAGAAAACGTTCGTACCAAGCGGATTTCTATTAAGAGAAAGTCCGATCTAGGCGAGGTTCCTTTGTGTATCCTTCGATCGGATCGAACGAGGTCGAAAGTGACGCAGAATCCACCGACACTCCTTTCTTTCTTTCTTTTTCACCTGGTTCTTCTCTTTCAATCGCACGCTTGCACTCGTCTGTCCTCCGTGAATCGCCGCTTTAAACGGCGTCGTCGAAACGTTGCCAAAACTTAATGGAAGACCAATGTATATACGCTGTACACTAAAACAAAGAAGAAGAAAAAAAAAGAACAATGAAATAGAAAAGAAACCGTGAGAAACATCGAAATATTCGGCGATGCTTATTGAACAATTCTCTATTACGATATTGTACGTTCATCGAGTAATCATAATTCGAGCACCGCTGCTCGCGTGGTCATTATCGAATCAGTCGCTCTCGAGAGTGTTCTTTTTTTCTTCTGAAAATCGACCGAGAGGGAGAGAAAGAACTGTTCGCGATCGAAGAGCTTCGAATAAGATTCGCGGGCGTCAAGATGCACAGACGTGACGCGAATTTGTCGATAACATTTGCGTCGTTTCGTCTATACGTTCCTCTCGCGACCCCCTTTATATTTCTCTCCTTTTCTGGTCCATCCCTCCCAGGCCGCGTTTTCTCGTGGAAAATTTTCAAATCGAGGCACGTTGGTGACGAGATAGAGGAGAGACTGTCATTGGCCAAGCAGCAATTTACCCCGCGAAAACCGCTGCCGAGGATCGATCTCGTTGCCGGTTACGAGCGAGATCCGAGCAACGAGGTTCGACACCGTAGCCGGTAGTCGTTGAAGGTCGATACGATCGAGATGAAATATTTTTTTAAGCGTGTACCGTCGACACGGCCGTCAACGTTGCTTCGGTTCTCTGATCGTGTGCAGGGTGTTGCGTGATATTTTTGAAGAAATCACGTTTCAAACGACGGCTCGATACAACGTGAAACTCACTCATCGGTGAGATTGTACGAATTTCAGTGATTTGTTTTTTTGTTTCTCCGTTTGTTCTATCGATAGAGTAATTTGTACATGTCCTATATATATATATATATATTTGTCGGCAGACATGCAACACTGTGTACACGGGAGGAAATTTATGCGAACGAAATTGTTCCCTTGAATCTGTGAATCAGAGCGACTGAATTCTCGAATAAGCTGATATAACTTTTTCGTGTATTTCTTATTTCGTTCGTTATTTCGAGACGGCGTTGCAATGGTAATTATTGTAAGTATCCAGCTAATTCCTCGGGACGAACGATGTAAACGTTATTTTATTATGATAACGAATAGTAACGGAGGAGTATTTATATATAGCTATGCTTTAACTACCCGAAAAAGGGTACCGAAATTGTTACAATAATTGCTCAGCGAGATAAAAAGCGAACACACGAGTTGCTCACGATCGCTTATCGTGTACAGGTGCAACTGACACGAATATAAAAAACCTGCGGCTTCGTTTTTTTTCTTTTCCCAATCTTGCGGATTTCGTTCGACAGAATCTTCAATTCGCGTCTCTTATTGCGTTCTATCGTGTTTCGTTCGAGCAACACAGAAAGCCTACGAGAAAGAGAGAGAAAAGAAACGAACTTACTCCGTGGATAATATTTGTACGATAAGAAGAAGCTGTGTAAAAGGAGAAGAAGGAGAGAAAAACGAAGAGAACGGGAAAAGAGAAATCTGTAAAACGGGGCTCGAAGCTTCTGACAACAAGCGAAACCAAAAATTATCCGAGACGAATTTCGTGGTTCCGTTGACGGGTCGCCAACCAAAGTTCAGTTCCTACCAGTTTTCGGGGAATAACAGAGTTCAAAACGATTCGCAGAAACTACTTGTCGCGTTACTTTCGCGTTTTCCTTTCCCGGCAAAGTTTCTGATCGACTAGATCGACCGTTTCACAAGGGTCGATCGTCGTTGGAACTCGACGATGTAGACGAACGGGACGAGATTCCACGTCGATCGACGATCCTCGACAAATGGTTACGAGTGTTAGGGGGGAAAAATTGAGAGAGGGAGAGAGAATGAAAGAGAAAAAATTCTTATTGAGAGACGAAGACGAAGGCGACGTGGAAGAAGAAGGAGATGTGAATTGAAAGGAAACGGGGGCGAGATCGTCGATAACGATAGATCGACGAGGAATCAGTCTGTACGTGGGCCGTATATAATTAGCCGCAAAACTTGATTAGTCTAGGTTATTACTCCATAGACCAGTTTGTACATCTAATTACAATACGTTATTGCGCATATTCATTGTGAATACGAATGCAATTATAAATTATCATAATAAAGTGTATGTTTATATACATGTACGGGTATTCGTTCGATTTATGTCCCGATATCCGGTCCAACGCCAATATTGCCACTCCTCTACCCTCCGCCTCTTTCGTCCTACACGCGTCTCATCCATTATCCAGTTTTGGCCCGTTTAATTACGGCCGCTTGGCCAAAATTGCGGTCTCGACGATCGGGACAGGACGAATTTGTGGATCGCTTTCGTCGCGACCGGATACCGATATTTCTGCGCAACCCTTTCGCTTAAACGAATTGCTACACCGATAGTGAACTCCGTGGGGAAATGAAACCCTCTGGTCGTTTCATTTTTAACGGTGAATTTTATTTTTTAATTTTTCTGTGCAGGGTAGAAAAGGAATTATAAATTTTGAGATATCTTTTCGACGACTGTTGGAAATATTCAGCGTGAAAATTATCGTGATTTTTACCAAGCTTAAAATAAATTTTCATTTATAAATTTCGAAATTGAAAAGTTCTGCCTTTCAACATTTAAACGAGTTTCGTGAAATAGATTGGTTTCGCTGAAATTGCGGGACGAAATTTACCGTCCGCGTTATCGTTCATCTTTAGCGCTGATTCTGTCTCGTATACCTTTTTATTCGAAT